CTCCAAACCCTGGAATCAAGAATTCAAGCAAAGCAAAGGGCGGCAGATTCATAGAAGAAGCCCAATGTTCAAAGTTTTTAAATCAACTACTTTTTAGCACACCAGATGATAATTACAGTACAACCTAAAAAAGCGAGTAGATTACCAGACTATATCAGAGGTGGGTTTCTTGACGCCGAGGCGGGTCCAAGTGAGGACCTTCCCGAAGTTGAGGTGCTTGATTTGAACCGGAGCGATGAGGTGAACCGAGTTGGAGAGCTCCTTCCATGGAATCTCTGAGGGTCTAGGGTACACCACTCGGTAGTGGTGGTAATAGTCGTTGTAGTCAGATGGAGCATTGGAGATGGCGATGAAACCCCAATGGTTTGTTGTTTGTTGTGGCCAAAGAAGTGGAGAGATGGTGAGAAGTGAGACGGTTGTGTGGAGAAAAATCTTCTCGTTGCCCTCTTTACAATGCAGTAGTCTGGTCGGACGTTCGGACCAGTTCAATATGCATGTTTAAATTTCTTATTCCATTCTTTTCCTCTCTCCCCTTATCTCTTCCAAGTTTTTCCGAAAGCTTTCTGCGTGTTGTTAATTTGAGATTATAGCCCATGTCTTCCATGTCTTCTACATTGTATTGGAATCTGGGTTTCGTTATTTCCTGAAAATAATTTCAGGAGAATAGAATTGCGTAGAGACTTTCGACTTGGAATCTGGGTTTTGTTATTTTGCCAATGTTTTCAGGAGAATGGAAGTGTAGAGACTTTCGGCTTTCCCATCAGACTTCAGAGTTCAGACCCTCATTCGAAAGAGACAAAAAAATAAATAGGAAACATTTGAGATATATCCACACGGACAAAAAGATTTCACGTGAGGATACCTTATGCTGCAGGAAGGGAAGGCCACGTCTTTCACGAAGACTCTTCCCGCCTTAGTATATGCAACAGATGTATATCATAAACTATTTCAATGTATCCTTTAGGCCCCGTTTGTTTTTTTGATAAATTATTTATTCGAGCTCAGGAAAGACTTATTTGAGTAAGTGTATTGTATTTATCTAAGTTCTTTTATTTCTCATGTGAATAAGACAATGACCATTTTAATCATAAAAAATTCATTATTAAAAGGGGTATTTTTATCCCATTTAAATATTAGTGGCTTTCCTCCTATGTGAGAAAATTATTTATCCACCTAGTAGGAAAATAAATTTTTCCTCGTCCCCACATAAATCTGAAAAGAGAAGATGGATTTTTTGATCAATAGGAATCAAAATCCCATTGACCAACTTTCCCTCCTCTCAAAATCCAAAAAACGAACACCCCCTTAATTTCAAAAAATATTTATACATACACTGTTGACTTTTGAAGGAAAAAATTTGTCCTTAATTATTCATCATCATCATCATTATTATTATTATTATTATTATTATTATTATTATTATTATTATTATTATTATTATTATTATTATTATTCGTTATGTTTTTCATCCACTACTAGCCCATCATTTTCCATCCACAACTAGCTTTTATTCCTTATGTTTTTCACAAGCATTCTTGTGACACTCATCGTTAAAGAAACACCCTACTTTCCAAATAAAACCACTTTCAAATCACTGGTTGCGGGTTCACCAATGATCAAAATGCAACTGCAACCTTTTCCTACAAATTTTTGAAATTGGGGTGTATTTGGTTCGCGGACAGGACCAGAATCGGAATCGAAATCGAAATCCCCAGGAATCGGAATTGGAATCATTTATTCCTAGCATCTGTTTGGTTCAATCAGGAATTGAAATCGGCCAAAGTTTTCAATTCTGCCCTGTTAAAAGAACCTCAAAAACATCCACTAGTTATATATTTTCAATATATACACACATTGGTAACCTGCTACCAAGTGGATTATATGGAGAAAATATGAAATAAAGAAAAGAAAAACACAAACAAACAGAAATCACAAAAAAAAAATCATTCTCCATAAAAAATGAAAAGAAAAATACATAAATAAACAAAAACCTCTCATAATGGTGGAAATATTACTGGGTACAATGAAACAGGGTAGACCCTTAATATCTTCTTCTGTCATAAACAACCACCTAGACATTTTGAAGATATATGTCAACGAGTACAATGATTTACTCCCGTCAATAATAAATCTTGCTGAGGTAAGAGGTAAAGATTTTCTACTTTCGATTGTTCTCGTCCTCACTTAGGTCCCTCAGCCTTTACTGCATTTCTCTGCAACAAATTGAAGATCAGCACAACCCAATGACTGGAAGGGAGATATTGATCTATCATAACAACAGACTAAAAATACAACCTTATGCGATCATCTAGTCTCTGCTCCTCCATGGAAAGGTTTTCAACTTCTGCCTGCAGAATAAAATCAGAACATAAAGTCTCTTTCTTCTTGGAAAAAAAAAGAGACCAATTTCTTTTAGAATCAAATCATGGTTACTGTAGCATTTGTGGAGGATGCAGCATTTCTTGAATCCAATGCAAACTGATGTATCCAACAAATAGAAAAATATGAAGGCATGGTAGCACAAGCCATCCAAGTGTGCATGTCTATAGAACAATATCGGCTTATGTGCATACATGTAACATTGTGGCGTCATCATCTTTTTCTCCTGGCCTTGAGACATAATCAACTAATCAATCCTCAAATGAATTCCCAATGGCTCGTGTACAGAAATAGAAGAATATATGTAAAGCAAAGAAAAAGGCACCCAAGCCCTAATGAATGTAAAATAGCAAGCCCCATACTTCCAACGTATTTTGTTCTTAAGCTTCTTCTCTATGAGTCCAATTCCTTCCAGGACATTTGTTATGTCATATATTCGCCTTTTCTGTACCTATAACAACAGGAAACCTCCAACTGTCAGCATTATGGCATATGTGACAAATTGATCAAGAGGTGAAATGCAAACCTCCAAGGTGTCAGCAGCTTTGTTCAAGTCAAGGATGCCATCTTCTCCATGTTTGATCAAATTGATGAACTTTTATGTTAAGAGACTTAAAAGAGAGTTGAAGTACATTATTAGCATGTATTCCTTGCTTTCAAGTATGAAGCCTATATAAGCCACTTAATGATGCAAAAAGCAAGCAACTGATTGTAAATAAACTTATTATTGATAATAAAAAGGAGAGAAAAAACAAGAAAAAAAATAAAAAATGAAAAGAACTAGTAGAGCAGGGACAAAACGTCCAAAAGGCAACCACTAATTAACTTACCTAGAGAGYTKYCATAACGACAAGTACCAACTGGAGTAAGAGTATTTCCAGATGGTGAACCTGCAAATTAAACATCAAAAATATGTACTAAAAATACCTGTTTTGCTAAATTTTTTATTGGTCTTTGCCAAACTTTTTGCCTTTGAGTGTCAGTGGTGGAGGAGATGGAAGCAAGGGCTACTGAAGAGAAAAACCACAGTGAGAATTAATGCCAAAAAAGAAACCATTGTAGAGAGACACTTCTCACCTGCATTTGGCACAGGGGTTTGAGGCCCTGATTTGATATGCTTTGGAACCCTTGACTTGTTGTATACCCTGCCCCCTTTTCCTGATACTGGTGTACCAAGGGGGCTGTTAACCATTTCAGTGTATCCAGGACTAGTAGTCCACTCATGGAAGCCTTCACAATCTTCTGTTTCACTCTTCCGCTTCAGAGGCTGAGAATCAACAATTATGTTCGCAGAATTTTAATAAGCAATTTGAGGAAACAAATTAACTGCATCACTAAATTGCAATATGTTCATAGGCATACCATTTTATGATGAAATAACTGAAATGAAGCACAATTGGAAAATGTGCACTCAAGCTTTGATCATTATTTCTTGTTCCATTAGAGGGAATATTAAAACTAAAAGGAATAATCCAAGGTATCCTATCTGCACTTCAAATGACGGATTCACAGTATTTAGTAATGGCACATATTCTAGCTTGACATACTTGTGTCCATTATAAAAATAAAGAGCTACAGTTGTACACCTCCAAAGAAATACTTAAACTCCAAAGCAAACTTACCAATGTGTGGAGTTTAAGTCACGGTTTTTCAAAAAAAAATATATATTTTTTGAATGTAACAGCATATTGTGAGCAATAGTGAGACCATTGAGATAGTTTCTGCCAAATATAGATATAAATACAATGGGCCTAGTCATCCAATATAAACTGCAAGAATACCTATTGAAGAAGATCGTTGTTGCCCCAGCTATCATTTTGGCCATAATAAACCAGAAATTCACATACCCCAATCAGATATACAACCTGCCACTAGATCAAATGGGTCAAAGATTCAACTACCCATTTGGACCAATTGTCAGGTTTTAAGAGAACTCCACCCAGAACCATGGCCCAATGACGGTTCAGATGGTTCATCCAACCGGATCAATGACAGGATGAAAACAATGCTTTTAGCCGCCACCTAATACATAGTATGTAACACCCTTGGAAATAAGCCACAATAACCTTTTAACCGCCATCCAATAATTTCCAATTTGGTTTGATTAAATTAGCGGAAATGAATCTACCCACGGCGTCTATAATTTCTCTAAGGTTGTTAAACTCCATGCCACGCAGAGGGAGACCAAAGATACAAGGCCCACCACTTACTCTATTCAACAATCTATTTCTAAGAAGAAAAGAAGCATCCCTCCTCTACAAATGTAAACAATGGCCACTGAAATGCAGCTTTTTGGAGTCTAGATTTGAGGCATCTAATCTAAAAGAAATCAAAAAATAAGATTATTATTTCCCTCCAATTTCCCATCCCTAAGCTTTGATCGAAGGTTTTAAATAAATCCCTTTTCCTCCAATTTCCTACCCTATGCTTTGCTTAAATTTTGGGGAGCCAACCCAACGAGATGAATTTAGCCGGTCGCACATGCGTTTTTTAGACACGAGTCAAAACACGCCTAAGATCTAAGTTGTGTGAGGAGCAGATCCGGACTCTCATTATTGTCAGCCTCAGGTGAATCATGTGAAGGTAACAAGATCATAAGCAAGCAAGTTGGAGGGAATGAATCCTGATTCGAGGGTTGAGGGTTGAGGGCCCATATCATGAGCCCTGTAAAAGACGACGAGAGAATAGATAGTACTACTGTACACGAAAAGCATCGTCGATCGTGAGAGGGATTTTGATTCTTGACTTGAGATGGGAATCCACATAACGTCCATGCCCTTCCTTGCATATTGCATCAGAAGATCAGATCGCGTCATCGCAACCCCCTATATGGAACTGCTCTGCATCCCAATACTATCTCCCCAAATCCATGGTTCAGAGGTCGGACCTCACCTCTGTTAGGATGTGCTCAAGCACACTGCAACATTTTTCTTTTGACATAATACAATGAGAGGAAAATGCACGTGTACGCTTTCCGATGAAACGGCAACGGGTTCTCTACATTCGGATTCTTAGCGCCAGAAGATTCTGAAGAAAGCCGCAGCGCAAAAGCGAGAGAATCTCGTCCCTGTCCTGTTCCGGTCCCCGTGGAAGTGGAAAAACCAACTCCCTCCATCTCAATCAATTTCCTCGCCAAACATTAGGGAACGGTGCAATTTTCCCGAAAATCTCTCTCATTTTTTGAGTCAAGCCTATATTATACGAACAATTTACTATCGTCATCGAAATTGTATTCTGTTAGCATTTCGGGTTTCAGTTCCAGGTTTGTGTTGACTCAACCTCCAAGAAGATAAAGCCATCATTTCCGAAACCCTAAACTTTCTATTTTGTCATGTTTTTTTTTTCTCAATTTCTCTGCAATTTGCTTGTCTAGATTAATTTCAATTTCCTTCTTTTTCTTAACATTCCAGCTAGTTTTTGATGCCGATCCTCTCTTCTGCATCATATCTAGGATAATGTAGAACATCGATATCTGAACTTTCCCCAATTGAAACAGTTTGCAATATCAATTATGAAACCAACTGTTTCTCTAAACTAGTTTTATTTTTTTATTTTTTCGTATTCTTAGTTGTCAGGGAAACTTGTTGTGGAAATGGATATTGATGATGTTTTGGGCAATTCTAAAGTTGTAAACCTTCCAACAAAGAGTGCGATTTATGTGTGGGGTTATAACCAACGTGGGCAGACGGGTAGGAAGGGTAAAGAATGTCACTTGAGGATTCCCAAGCGTCTCCCTCCCGAGCTTTTTGGGTGCCCGGCAGGAGTTAATGAACGGTGGTTGGATATTGCTTGTGGCCGTGAGCATACTGCAGCTGTTGCCTCTGACGGCTCACTTTTCACATGGGGTGAATTTTCTAAACCTTTTGAACCCCTTTATCTCATCTTAGCATAAATGTTCTCTTCTATTTCATTTTTTTTTTCAATTTGTGCTTTCAATTTAACAATGACTATAATTAATTTATCGATGGATTACTAGGAAATTCACTTTTAAAGGCTTTTGTTCTCATGGAATTTAGGGAAAACCTTCTGTATATATTGTTAACTGTTAATTTAATTAAAATAATCAAAAGAATGAAATAGCAACATACACTATTAATCACTGCCTAACCCATAAGGTTGTGCTCTGTATCGTGTTTTTTTGCGTGTTTCAATTGGTTCTGGAATGCACCGTACTAAACATGCACTTTTAAATTAAAGTGTAGTGTGTTTTGTAACCAGCAATTTGTGGTTCCAGAATGCAAAAGATTGCAATAATTTGATCACGGTTATTTTTCTCGTTCCCAACCACATCACACTTCATCCCTTGATAATTGATATTGACATTGATTCAGTGCATCTCACCTGAGAACCAGTAAGTTTCAAATCCCACTATTTTGAAAAGACCACACCGCTACATGCAGAACACTACGCAGGGTGTGGTGAGTTCTAGAACCCATGATTTCAAACACACCTAAGTAGGGACAAGTTGTCTGAAACACACAACACCTATTTGAGACCATAACACAGAAAACCCTCTAAATGTTCACTTTTACAATCAAGCTCTTATGTCCACCTTCGTAGTAGCTATGCAAAATAAAATAGCTGGTTCATTTTTACTCCTTCTAGCCAATGCGTCTGCCAAGCTATTTGCTGAAATTCACGTCCATATGAAGCATGCTCTTATCTGCCTACAGTCATATTTTTGAACCATTTAAGTACTACTTATGAATCCTCTTCTACTAAAAGGTATCCATAATTTAGTTATCTTCCCAACTTTAACCCTTGGTGCATTTCTAACAGTTCAACTTTTCTTGATCTTCTTTGGCCAATTGGCCCTGAGAAAATTGCCAAAAATGTCACCATGAATATCTCTAGACACATCATCAATTCCTGAGCTTCCTGTATTGCCCATGCTACACCCATCAAAATTTAACTCTATGATGTTTTGTGATGGAGGACACCATTAGATTGTTGATGTATTTCTTATAGATCATGAAAATGTTATGCTATGCTCCATTCCCTTAAAATGTCATCGGGAGAGAAAGGACTATCCATTAAGGGCAAGGTCAATATTTCCCTTGGAAGTTGGAACCACTGAAATTTTCAACATATCTACATTTCTGGGGGAAACCAAAACAATGTATATTGAAAACAAAATCCTTACAGTTTTGGTCGAAAATAGAGAAAAACTAGGTTAATATATTGGGAAATGGAAGAGAAGTAAATATGTGGATAGAAAAATATATAGAGCTTCAGTTTTTTATACAATTTTTTAAAATATTTCTATTTTGATTGGATTTCAATAGAGAGGGCTTTGATCCAGGTTGAAAGTTGAAACTTGTTTGAAATTAAGATTTGATACCTTTATTCTGGAATACCTGTCAGAGCTGGGCTTCAACTGTTCCTTTTGCTCCACTTGGGGCTTAACAAAGAAGAAAATAAAGTTATTTTCACTGATAAATTCTATAAATAAAGATACGTGTGGATGTGAGATTACTTTTTGTTGGGTTTTGGAGCTCATTTGAAAGAATGTAATGGTTTATACTGCATGTTATACATGGAGACTGGGTTTGCAAGATGTAATTGTGATAACTAGGCACTTACTTTAGTTGTTCTGTGGAATTTGTCATGAAATCAGAATATAATTATCCTGTAACTTCATGCGTTTACTTACTATCGTGTTATATTATCAAGCAATTATTTATAAATTTAGTCATTAATGTACCTATGTCATTGAATGTAGGGGCAAATGACTTTGGTCAGTTGGGAGATGGAACTGAAGAGTCTCGGAAATACCCAAGAAAAGTTAAGCTACTGCAAACTGAATTTGTGAAATCTGTTTCATGTGGAGCACTCTGTACAGCTGCTATTGCAGAACCTCGTGAAAATGATGGGACCATCTTCACAAGTAGACTTTGGGTCTGGGGGCAAAATCAGGTTTTAACATTTGTCTTTTGGTTTCGTTATTATTTTTTTTTTGCTAGCAACAGTATGCAATGATTTTATTAAAAATGGGAAAACTACTTTACATTCCTTCCAGCCTTTTTCTGACCATATCATTTATCATTTAATGCTTGTGTACTTAAAAATTTCCTTCCAGCCCTGGTACACCCCACAGGAGGCCTTTTTTTTTTGTGATGCCTTCCCTAGCTAGAGGATCTTCCAAACTGTCTGTGGCTCTAGGGACCTCTCTTGGTTTCACTATTATTTCTTTTATTTATTTAATTAACACTTACGTGTGCATCTTCTCGTATTCTCAGGGATCAAATTACCCACGTCTTTATTGGGGAGCTTTTACTCCAAACACGGTATTTGATATTCTTTTATGATCTGTTTTCTGATTATTAAGTATAACATAGATTAATCTCATTTGTGGTACAATTACCGGGAATTCATCGTATTGAGTGGTAATTGATGATAATTAACTAGACTTTATGAGGTAATAGTCTTACTTCTGAAGTTAAAATATCGGGGAGGGGGGGGGTCCTATCAAGAAAATTAAGAAAGCCAGGAAGCAGAAAATGCATTGTTACGATTAAGGTGGGATATCAGGGGTTTATGAAGGGCTTGGATTGAAGTTGGGAGTGATCTTTGTCTCATGAGTGTGGGTTGCTGGGGCTTGTTTTTGAATGGGTTCTCTCTTTTGTCTTTTGTCTTTTGTCTGAAGGGTCTTTGGTTGCATTTGGGTTTGGTCTTTTGGGGCTGTTGCTGGTTCTGGCTTGGTTTGTTACTTTGTTTCATGTTGGGAGATTTGGTTGGGTTTCATTGTTTTTTTTTTTTTTTTTTTGGTGGGTAATGCCTTGTTACCTCTTGATGTAATCTTTTTTTTTTTAATAATTTATTTTCATTTATCTTCAAAAAAATGTTGGTTTCATTATAAATGCCAAACATTTTGAGTGAAGATATATAACAAAATGAAGGATTAGTAATCATGTGATGCAATCTTCTTGTGTAGCAAGGAAATAACTTACGTAGTAGAAATTGATAATGCACTCCTCTGATATATGTAGCACATACATTTCTGCCTAGTTCATTTTATTGTTCTCAATCATGATCTTGTCTTTGATTCACATGCCAATAAACAACTGTCTCACTTGAATCTACATTTAATTTCCTCTTTTAGAATTCTTCCCAATATGTTATTCTTTATGCTGTTCTTAGTGCAAAGTTGATCTATTGGGCATGTTGTATTGCTTACAGATTATCCACCAAGTTTCTTGTGGAGCAGTTCATGTGGTGGCTTTATCAGAGGATGGCCTTCTGCAGGCATGGGGTAATTAAACTTATTGCCTTTTTTTTTTTTTAAATTTAGTAAATATTGCCTCTTTAGAATGTGGAATAAATAATCTCTCTTGTATTTTGCTGATATGTTTGAGGAAAAGCTGGCACTGTTGCTGAAAGACATGAAGCATATATGTGGTACTACTTAGTTTTTGTTCTGATAGAATTCATGCTTTTATGCATATGCTAAAGTTTTTTCATATATAAAATGAAAGGCATAGAAGGGAGCACCTAGATACTATGTATGATATTCTAATAAGTATTAATTAGAGTTCTATTACTTTTCTGATACACCAGGCTACAATGAATATGGTCAGCTTGGCAGAGGTTTTACCTGTGAAGGGCTTCAGGGTGCTCGGGTTTTAAATGCTTATGCAAAATTCCTTGATGAAGCCCCTGAGCTTGTGAAGATTATCCAAGTGTCATGTGGGGAGTACCACACAGCAGCTATATCAGAAAATGGCGAGGTGTAAGTGATCTGAAGGACTTTGTTATCTGGACAAAAGTTCTGTTATACGTGGGAAATGTGGTTTTCCGCATGACACAAGTGAAACTGTTTGAAGATTTAGAAAGCTTTTCTAGTAGAAACTTAACCTTCCACTAGAAGATTGGAGGACAAAATGGAAACAGATGGTGTTTTAATTTGTTAATTTTCCTCTTGTTGATTTGGTTTGCAATGGATACTTCACCCAGTGACCACTTACAGTTCTTTTTTTATATTATGTTGTTCTTTGTGCCTAACTCGCGTGAGTCAACTTTATAATTGAACTGTGTTTTACTTTTAATAATTGATGATAAATGTGAGTTAATGATCTTTGCAAGTTTATAAACTTATCTGATGATGACTTTTTGCTTCTTGGTTATTTGTGTAAATCACAGGTAGGCCATAGTCTATCCTTGACCATTTAATTTGTCAACTGTTTTGAGATGTTTTGCTGTTATTGTATTGTGTTTCAGGTGATTTCTCCTCTGTAAATTAAGTATTATGAATTTCAAAGGATTCTGGAACCTTTCAGATTTTTCACTCATTGGTAATGGAATGCAAGGGAAAAGTAACTGAAGTAATTCTAAAACTGGAATTTGGAACCTTTTTCTTCAATTCTCTATCCTAGTCAAGTCTTGTCAAAAGCTTTAACTTGGTCCTATGGGATCCTTTTCACTTTTACATTTTGCATTTACAACGGAAGTGGGTGGTCTAAAGTATGGTTAGGAAACTAGAAGGTAGTTTAGGTATATATAGGACCAAGTATTTTGCATACAGGCATGCCAAATCTCTATGTGCCCCTAAGGAAAAATGGTCTAGGTGATGTAAGAATGATAAGGGATTTGTACAAGATTGGACAACTCAAATGCCACACTTCAAAGATTTTCTACTTGGGATGCAATAGTTAGAAAAAAAAGGTTATGGGCATTCCTTGGCTAGGGCTCTTGGGATTTAGGGTTAAGTAATTAGGATAGGAAAGGGAAGGTATTATATGGTAGGTCAATTTAGTCCACACTCCACAGTTAGGGCTTAGAACATTAGGGTATATAATATTGGGTAGACCTGAAAGACTGAGAAGTTAGTGCATAGGAAATTGAAAATCAAAAGCTAAATAATAAATCAGATTAAGGTAATTCTATTACCCTAGAGCTAAAAATCCAGAGATAAATGCTATATTATTTATTTATTTATAGGTAACAGATAAATGATTCTATTAAGAAAGTATAAAACTGATATACCCATCCAACCTAGAGGACAGACTCCCAAATAGTCAAATACAAAAAGAGCTTGCAAGATTCCCTCTCGAAGAACTGCATCTACTACTGTTTTATGACCTTCTAACCCATTGAAGATGATGTTCATTCTTACTCCAAAGATCTAACCTTTACAATGTAGTGAAGAAGTAGCCATGGAACTACACCTCCATCTCTAATCCATTCTTTCACATCTGAGAAATCTCCTATAACTATGATATTGGAGTTGCCTGGGAAGATAAATGCTATGATCGTCATTTATGAATCAATAATATGATAGATAAAATATATTGATAAGAAAGAGAATTGACTTAGAGGATCCTAACGATTTCTTGGTCAGGAGTCTTGAACAATTATTTGATAGATAAAGAATTGACAACAAAGGTGATGTGGGCTCTGAACCACCCAAAAGATAAGCACACTTCTGTAAAATATTATTCTGGATTTAATAATTTATGTTTCCCTTGCTTAGGTTATCTCTTGTACATTGGGCCTTAGCATGGCAAGTTGCGTATGCATTGCATTACTGCATTGGCCTGGCACACCCCTAAAAGATATAGAAATAATATAAAATTGACTCCTAATGATTGCTATGATACCTGGATACCTATATGACAATGCCATACATTGTTGGATAGTTTTAGTGTAAATTCTGTATTGAGGGGCCATTACTTGGTGAGATAGTAAAATCCGGGCTGCAAGTGTGAGAACATTGGTATACAAGTCTGAGAGCAGCCACTTTGTGCAAAAATGCCAAACGTTAGGCCTGCATCTACTTTACCCCTCCCAAAACCCCAGATAGCTGGGATCAACATTGAGTAATGGTCTTTTTTTAAGTGTAAATTTGTATTTGACAGCTTGTCCAGCTGTGTCCTTGCTGTGTCTGGGTTATATGGAAAAGTGAACGTTGAAATTAAGACAAAATTAAATAGGATGTGTAGAGAACTTCTCTTCTTGTGTACACTCAACTCAAAAATCAATCAAGTATTATAACAAATAATGGCAATGATAACAATAATAATAAAAATAATAACAATAACATGGCAACATAGGAAGTCTGGAAGTGTGTTCTTGCTATGTTAAATTGAAAGTTGAATTTAGGAGTGCAATTGAATAGGATTAAAATGTGTAGAAGAACGAGAAGACCACATCAGCAAGTCTGGCCAACTGAAGACAGTTCAGAGTCATTTCTTCCTTCTTTCTATTATCTTTGTCAGGAGGAAGCTTCACCCTTGAAGTGGAGCCTGAGTTGTGCAACCACCCAACAGATATCAACAATAATAACAACACATTATAAATAATAGTAATATAAATGGAACATGAAAGAAAAGGAAAAGAAAATGGCTTGCATCCCACAAAATGAACTGCAAGTCATTTTTTTTTTGGTCTGTAGGATTGGCTCCATCATTAGGGTTGAAGTTGAATGCTATTCGACAGCGGGAAGGTTTTAAACACAAGGTTGGTCACCAGTGTAGAGATCTTCTATATCAATCAGTATGTAAATCATGCTTTTTGGGTGTATTTTTTAATCTTTCTTTAACATTTGCATTCCTCACATCTACAAATTTTTAAATTATGATTGATAAAATATACCATTATATATTGAAGAAGTATCCATCCTATAAGTATGCTCCAGAAACATCCCTGCAGTATCCAGTGTCATATTGGATACATATTGTATTTGACCTCAGTGTGTAAGCATTTGGTATTGTGCTTTTATTGTTTAGAGTTCAATTTCATTTTCCAACTTTCTTCTATCAAAGCAAGCAATACCCTTGAACAAGCCTTGTTAATCAATAGTTTGTCTTAGTCATATTTTCTTGTTTACTCTTCTTTCCTGGTCACAAGATTTTTTTTTGACTGAACACCTTACATATATCACACAAAAGGCATTCTTGTAGCATCCATGCTTGATTACAACTACTTTTCCATGACCTAGATCAGTGCAAATGGCTTCCAGATCATCAGTATATGTAAAAGACTTTTGGGAATAGTGAGTGTACTTAAAGGGTTTACCTACCCATTCTCAACATATATTAACCTTTTACTTCAAAATTTGAATATTTGATGTGTAAATCAAAGAGATTTGTGTAGATCTGAACTAGGTGAGCCTTTGATGCAACAAGAAGAGCTAGTCATGGATGTCAATAATGCAGATTTTTGTCTCTATCACTATATTTCCAGATTTCTACAGCAAGAAGCTGTTGCACTTTGAGAATACCTTGATCAACCTGACATGAACTGGGAGCCATGCTACTCCTCACTCTTGAGGTTGTTCAATGGTTATTTTTCCTTTGACTGTGATTAGTTGAAAGAATTCAAAAGCTTCTTTGGTCTTACTTATTACTTGCAGTAAAAGAGATCAATGAGTTATTGACACAAGATGTAACCGTGATTTTGGAAGTAGAAGATTTGTTTTCTACACCTGGGAAATAGGGAACTACTTGGAACATAAAATAGATTCAATAGGCATGAAGTTAGAATTGAATGTAGTTGCTAGAATTTCATCCACCGATTAAAGGGACTATACTAATATAGTTCCCAAGAGCAGAGCAGTTGCTAGTAGCAACCAGTGCCCATCGTGAATTACTAAAATAGTCAATTTGAAAATGCTCTAATCAACATGTGATGTATCAGAAAGACCATTTCTACCCATATCTAATCCAGGATAATAACTTACTAGACTGTTGTTTATGAAGAATGCACATAATTTTCTTAGCTTTTACTGATTATTGATGCCAGCTATCTATCTTCACCATCCACCTATTACATGAAATTATCTTTTTTCTGTATCTCATTCTCTTTACAAATGCTCTTCATATGTGGTGGGTTGTTTTGACTCTCGCAGATATACTTGGGGGCTAGGAAATATGGGTCAACTTGGGCATTGTTCACTTCAGTCTGGAGATAAAGAGCTGCTGCCCAGACGAGTTGTTGCCCTTGATGGAATACCTGTAAAAGATATTGCATGTGGTGGTGTTCATACATGTGCTCTGACTGCAAAAGGAGCTCTTTATGCTTGGGGTGGTGGGCAAGCAGGGCAATTAGGGCTGGGACCCCAGACTGGATCCTTTTTATGCATTGCTAATGAGTCTGAAATGTTGCTTCGAAATATTCCTGTTTTAGTTGTCCCATCAGGTGTGCAGCTTGTTGCTTGTGGGCATTCCCACACGCTTATTTCTACTTGTGATGGAAGAATTCATGGATGGGGTTATAATAGCTATGGTCAGGCAGCAAATGAGAAATCTACCTATGCTTGGTATCCGTCACCAGTTGATTGGTAGTGTATCTGATGCTGTTCATCTTCAAACATTTCCTCAGTACTCCATACCCAATCTTATCAGCAGAAGTTATTCATGCAGGTGTGTTGGAGAAGTACGGAAACTGGCTGCTGGTGGTGGTCATTCAGCAGTGCTGACTGATGCATGTTCCTTGAAAGAATTATGTGAATTCAGCCTTGCAGATAATATGACTCTATCAAATGCTTCCAAAATTGAGGATGTTGCAGCTAGAACTGGATCAGATGCTTTAGCACATCTTTGTGAAAGACTGAGGTATAGTTTTTATTTAAAACTTGTAGGTGCTAATTTCAAAGCTGCACCATTTCTTAAATGGCAATTTAATCTCATAGATGTTGGAAGAAAATTTAGTTTTAGTTTTTGATGATGCTCTGCATTTAAGTTGCTTGCTGCTATCATTTAGATAATTTGTTTTTTTTATTTGTATTGTTTAGATAATTTGTTACATTGGCTTTTTTTAGAAATTTGCAAATTTGTTTTGACAAATAAACTGGAATCTGATGTTTAATTATGGTTGAAGGATCTCTACAGGTCATTGATAAAGAATTTACTACGTTTTAATTGATTTATACGAAGAGATTTTTGTATTCATTGTCTTAATGATCTTAGCATGCTAGATACTAATACTTGGAACCCTATTTGTCAAGCAATTTCTCTTTATTTTTATTTGCCTTTTCTGTCTTATATGTAAGCTGGAAAATAGACCTGGAAACTACCAATTTAGGTGGTATCACTTCCTTCTCTCTCTCTCTCTCTCTCTCTCCTTAGAAGCAGCTTGGGCATGTCCACAGGACTCAGAAAACAGTTTTGTGGCCCTTAAAGGATTGTGATCCATGATTAAGTGTGTCCCATCATGAAGACCAACTGGGCCAGAAGTTGGCTTGAAACACGACTGGAATCTGTGTGCATGTTGTGTGTTGATACATGGGGCATAGTTGTCAATGCATCTAGGAGATTCTGGGTTATAGTGGGGTGCCTAGTTGCCTAGACTATAAAAATTTTATAAAATTAAGAACTAAAATTTGGTTATTGGCAACTTTTTTTTTTTTTTTTGAAGAAGGTAAAGTATTGTATTTCAAAAGGAAACCAAATCAGGGCATGCTAACTCCTTCAAGGAAGAACTGTTGGCTTTATTGCAAGGGTTGAAAGTTGGGCAGGCTTACTCCAAACTACATCCTTTTGGTAAAAGGTGACTCAAGCATGGTAATCGGATGGTTGAAGCATAAAAGGATAAGTCCTTGGCGCTACAGGCATACCATAAGAAAGTAAACAGATTAGCAAGGGAGTTGAGAGCTTCTTTTAATTGGGTTAGTAGGAGTGTAGGACAGCTAATGGAATGGCGGATGCCTTGGTAAGGCAAGGGGCTAGAAGGGAGCAGCTTTTTTGGGGTCCTACAAGTGGAGTACTAGATAATGATGTATTGTTAAGTAAAGGTGTGTTTGGTGGTGGTGGGGGGGGGGAGGGGTTGTCTCCCGTTGTAGTTGAGGGGTGATGTCCACATGTCCACTTGTACATTAAGCTCTATTATTTTCCTATATTTTAATGAAGTTTTCAAGATAAAAAATTTCCTCTAAAGTCATGGCTAATCATCATAATTTAAACATCCAGGATTAGAGCAGGATGGGCAAAATGGAGGGGGTTTATCTGGACTTTTATGTGATAGGCAAATACCACTGAGATTAAAACATTTGTAAGGCCAGTTATGTTGTATGGAGTGGAATGTTGGGCAACAAGAAACATGTCGAGAAAATGAATGAGACGGAAATGCGAATGCTAAGATGGATGAGTGGAAAAACTAGAAAGGACATGGGTAGACATTGAAGGGCCTAGAAGATATCAGGGTAGATCAAAAAGGACATGGGTAGAAAACTAGAAATAGTAAGAAATGATTTTAGTACTAATAATTTAACAGTGGATACGGATTTAAATAGAATGGATTGGCGAAACAGGATTCATGTAGCCAACCCCATATAGTTGGGATAAGTCATGGATGATGATTAATTTTAATATTTTCAAATATAATATTAATATAAAAAGTATTTAATAGAGCATTTTCATATCAATTTAGCAACTAAAGAAGGCTATATTTTTATATGATAAAAATTAAGATTGAACATTGAAAGTAAAAGAGAAAAAGTACAAGGGTGGAGCTGCTGTCTTATTTAATGTAAGAGTCAAGGATGAGCATTCGGTTTATTCCATTAAAAACCGAACCGAATAAACCGAAATTTTAAAAGCCAAAACTGAAATTTTTTGTCCAGTTTTTGGTTATTTTGGTTAAAATCGAATTTCAATAATATATATTATATATTACATTAATATAAAAATATTATATATTATATAATCTATATTATAATATATATATATATATATATATATTAAAAAACCGAATAAACTGAAAAAACTGAACCGAATTAACCAAAAACTGAAAAAACCGAAACCAAACTTTTTGGTTCGTTTTTTTGGTTTTTACTGAATAATGCTCACTCCTAGAGAGAGAGAGGGGTGACAAAAGGAAAAAAGTGGATCTTTTAAATTTCAAGAGTAAAACTTTGAAACAAATTAATAGAATGTATTAACACATATATTAATAAAATGTAGCTATAGTCTGATATTATAATAAGTCTTCTACAAAGAGACTGGTTTAGTTGTTTTGTTTGGTCAAGAATCCTAGATGACCCAATAATGTAGAAAAAATGGTTTGGGCACAAAAGGAAGCCTACATTCGTTGCTCAAACTATGTCCAATAGAGAAATTTCAATTCAAAAGTCCTAGCTACATGTTTAAATTCTAAATTAAACCCATTGATGTGAGCAGTTTTTAAGTTAAAGATGTAGCAAGCATCTAGGAAAAACATCAATACAAGGTCGGGTAACATGGACTTAGACAATAGGATTGAATGCATGGCAGATCCAAAGGGTCCATTACCCAATTAATGGTTTGGATTAGCTACATCATCACTCCATAATATGATATTTATCAGGAAAAGGTTGTCCTACCAGGTCAAGTAGGTAGCCTCCCCACATGATTCCACCTATTTTTACCATGTGGAGGGGATCGTGGCCATTGATCAATCCATAGCATTGGCCATGTATTCAATTTTTTCAATTTTTTTTATATCACTTATCTCAAAAAATTGTCTATTATCAACCCAGCTTTATTGCCAACTTTGTACTGGAGTTCTGATCAATTGGCTCATTCATGGACAACCATTCCCATAGGGGGTCTATTTTGATCATTGCGGTAAAAGTTTTCTCATCAATAATCAAATGTAGGGAGATAAATTTTGAATTTGAATTCTAGACTTCTCAAGTGGAATACTAGGTTGTTTAGGGAGTTTCCCCAAGACTGTCTTTCCCTACCTTTTCTTTCAAATCAAACACAGCCTAAGTGATGCAAGCAGCAAACCCTTAGAAGGTGAAGAGTTCTATTGTAACTGTTGAAAATTCTAAAATAATGGATATATTAGATTGCTAAAAGTCATTCGGTCAGGTTGATTTTTTTTGTGAGGCCCATTGAATAGTGGGTCCTGATCCTCTGAATAATTGAATGTCATGGAAAAAACTATGCTGCCGAAAGACATGACACGCTGGAAGGGCTTTGAGCAATCAATCCCCCTCCCAATGAGAATTGGGATCTGCTCCTCACACTGACCTCACATCTTCCATGGATAATGACATACAAGCATGAGAGATGTTCCCGAGATGTGCGGCTGCTACATGCTGTAAGGGTCGTGTGAGAAGTAGATCCGGACTCCCCCAATGAATTTGATAAATAACCACTTGGTTGGTAATTAACATGTATCATATGGCAAGTTAATGGGGTTCCCAAACCACAGATTGATTCCAATGTCCTAGAGGTAAGACACTTGCATTAACTGGTTGTTAATGTTTTTGCAGGGAGCATTTGCTTGACTCGGGGAAGTGTGATTGTGAAGAGCAAGAGGCGGTTCAAGGCAAGAATTGAAGAAAAAGGAGTCAAGAGTAAAAAAATGTGAAGGGTTGGTATAAACAGCATTATTTTTTTGATTAAAAAGTGTCAGATATATTACTTGAACATGTTAACCTATTTGCCGTTTTACAATTACATAATATGAAGGCTAGGATTTGGCCGCTTAAAAGAGTGTCAGATAACTGGGATTGTAAGATATTGTATTCAAAACCGTAGGGACTATTTAAATATTAATGGGTTTGGTAGTTATAGTCTCGATGGGGCCTGGTTTGGAACCGGGACAATCTAATTTCTTATCGATTCGGGACAGGTCTACCCTGTCCCGAACCAGGCCCAACCCATTGACAACCCTACCACCGTTAGTTTAAAAAACGCATGGTGTTAGTGACACTATTCACAATCTGTTAAATAATAGAAAATATTGTTATGAAAAAATTGTAAGTAGATCTCATTAAATAAAATAAAGATGATTTAATGTATAATTAATAAATATTAAAAATAATATATAAGTAGGTTCTACTTCAAATTTTCTTTTAAGAAAAATAATAGGTGGGCCCCATTTTAATAGGTGGAGTGCAGTCTATTTATCCTAAAAAAATAATAGGTGGGTTTCACTTAAAATTTTATTTTTTAAGAGAATTAATAAGTGGATCCCAATTTGAAATTATATGCGGGCCCCATCTCTCTCTCTCTCTCTCTCTCTCTTGGCCGAATCTCCCACCCTTGTCTTCTCCCTCCATTCCACTTGCCACCATCGATCGCTACAACTTTCACAAACAAATAGAGAGAGAGATGTTGCCGAATATATTGGCTGCACCAATGGTTACCTATCCCTCCACAATGTTAGCATTCTACATGCATTACTCCTCATAAACGATCCTCCCAGAGTCCACCTCAATACGCTTCCATTAGGGATCTGAAGCAGGGAGTCATTACCTGCCTCAACAAGCTCTTTGACTGAGATACTCTCGCCATCGCAACCTCCAAACTCGAATCCATCACTCAGAACCTCACTCATGAATCCTTCCCCCATTCCTCACTTGCATCTACGATATTGATTCCTCCGAGGAGACTCTTGGCCTTTAGCAATGCGTCTGTCTCCTTGGTTTACTTTTTGACACACGATGACACTTTCTCTCCTTTCCTATCTAAAACGCTCATTAACATAGTCCACTGCCTTAGAGACCCCGATTCAGCTATCCATTTAAATTGCGTCGGTACCATCACGACAATGGCCTTACAATCACAAAGTCTCCCTTCTCTGTGTTCTTGAAGCCATTGATGGAGGCTCTTTTTCTTGAGTAGGACTACCTCCGTCACGGCGATGACCACAACAACAACGTTTAATAACCTTATTGGTAACACTAATACTAGTAGTAGAGAGAAATGTATATAGAAATTTGGTTCGTTTTGAATCAATCATACTACACCAGTTTCGTATTAAATTCTTTTACTATCTTGAGTATCTGAAACTACCAAATTCAATCTCATTGAATTCATATTTTTACAAGGTTTCTGTTGTTGGGCCCTTGTTCATGAGACGGTCAACTTTTACTAGTGTAAAGGAAAGATCACATGGCATCCAAAGGGTAGTGAATCAATGGGTGTTAAGATGCTGTTGAGACCCACCTATTAATTTTCTCTTAAATGAGAAAATTTCAAGCAAGACCCACTTATATATTATTTTAAATATTTATTAATTATACATTAAATAATTTTTATTTTATTTATTGGGACTCATTTGTAATTTTTCAATTTTTTGAATTTAATAGTATCATATTATTTTATTCATTATTTAATGAATTGTAAACAGTGTCATTAACACCGTACATTTTTGGGTTAACAATGGCCTTTTCAACTTAATCTGATATCTAAATTGGCCCATCAAATAATAAAAGGGCGAAAGTGGCCCTTTTACAAAGTAAAGGGATTATCAGAGCCGAAAATCCTTTTAGATTAGTTTGGTGAGTCAATTAAAATCTGCTGCACTTGTAGATTTTCCTTGCACTTTCCCTGAAATTTCATATTTAGTGACCATGACAGGTTTTGTGCCCTATGAAATACAAGTGTGCAACAATACATATGAAACCCAAGTCGAGCAGATGCTCCTAGAAAAAAGCCAAAAACATAAACATATCAGTTAATTTACAACGTTCTCGGGAGTTATGGTTACGGGAGGGTGATCGTAATGGTAGGTATTTCTACCTTTCAGCAATTCACCATCGTCGTCGTAATGTCATTTCTGTGTTTCGTCACTCTGATGGCCCTTGGTGTTATAGTGATACAATGCAACAATTATTTGTTGACTACTACACTACAAGGAACTGTTTAGGAGTTCCTGTCCTACCATTTCTCATGAGTTATTGTCGTTGGTACAACATGTGATTACTAATGATGATAATGCTGCGCTTTTGTGTCTGCTTATTAAATTTCAGAGAAGGCCAATAAAACATTGTATTGCATTATTTGAATATAGTAATTACATCATATTTATAAATTAAAACAGATCAAACCTATTCAAATTCAAATTTTTACTCTCTATCTAGGACTTTATGTAATTTATCTTAATTCATCTAAAATTCATGCATGTAATCTATTTCAATCAATCTCAAATTCTATTATAACATAACAAACTCAATCCATATCTTTTAATACCACCTACTAAAAAGGAATTAAAAACCATCGTGATGCAAATGAGACCGTATAAAGCCCCGGGTCCTGGTATGCCTATCCTTTTATCAATCATTTTGGCATCTTATATCTGATGATGTCCACAATTGGATTCTTAAATTGTTTAATGGCAAATGCCTGAGTCTGAAGTTCTTATTCCTAAGATGAATCACCTAGAGAGTGTGCCAGATTTCCGGCTGATTAGCCTTTATAATTTATAATGTGGTTTATAAAATATTTTCAAAATTATTAGCTAATCGATTGCAACCCCTACTAAAACAATGTATTTCACCTTGGCAAGCAGTATTTGTTCCAGCCTTCCATGTAAACAGATAGTTGATAACATTTTGGTGGCTCATGAGGTTATTGTGCATATAAAGAAAAAGAGGAAATTCTAAAGTCTTTGCTCTAAAAATAAATATGTCTAAAGCATATGATAGGGTTGAATGGTATTTTTTTAGAAGTTGTCCTACAAAAGTTGGGTTTCTATGACAAATGGCTTCAATTGTTGATGTTATGTGTTACTTCTCCTATTTTCTCTGTTGGTTTTAATGGAGAATCTTCTTCTTGTTTTTTCTCCAAGAGAGAGAGCATTACGACAAGGGGACCAACTTTCACCCTATTTATTTATCATTTGCATGAATGTTTTATCCTTGTAATTCACCTCCCTCATTCAGGAGAAGAAGTTATCTGGTATCAAGTTGGGAAGAGGATGTCCCCCGATTTCACATATGATGTAAATTTATTGTTGACGATCTTATGATTTTTGGTAAGGCAACTTTGTTGGAATTGGCTACAGTTGGGAGGCACTGCACCTATTTGGCATGATTCCGGGTAAGGAGGTCAATTACAGTAAGTCTGGAATATTCATCACCGATTACGTAACAGCAAATTGGTTCGTTTTCTCCATGGTCAAGACAATTAGTATGTTGGTGCTCCTTTGTTCATTGGTTGTAGTAAGAAATCGGCGTTTTCCTTTATTGTTAGTTGTTACGTGGGTGAAGTCTAGATTGGAAGGGTGGAGGGCTGGTTCACTCTCAATGGCAGGACGGTTGACCCTAGTTATAGCATGTTTTAATTTGAATGCGGTACGATCGATGTCTATGATGCGTTTCCCTGCCTCTGTCTGTGATGATTTAGAGAGACTGAGACTTCCCCGTCGCTTTTTGTGGGGGTGCTTCTTCTTCTACCCAGTGTCGAGCCTCTGTACCTTGGGATAAAGTCTGTTCCCCCAAGGTTGTACTTGTAGGGGGTTTAGGAGTGTGGCGTATGAAATATTTTAATGATGCTTTAATTTGTTGGCGAAGGTAGGAATACGATGGCGTATCCTCTAGATTGGGTGCATGTTCTCAAGGCAAAGCATTTTCCTTATGTAGATTTCATGACAGTGTCTCCTAAAAATAGGTGATTGTTGGCTCTGGAAGGGTATTTGTACCCAGATGACGCAAGTTGCGATGAAGCAATTTGCAATAAACTTTACTCCTTGCGATGAAGTTCATCATCCTTTAATCGGTTATGGATTTAGTTACGGATCTGTTTTGATTTTCTTTTGTAAATGCCACATCAGCATCTTGTAATAATCGTTTATATATACTTGATTATTTTAATGAAGGAAACATCACTTTTCTTCGTCAATTCCGTGTCTTTAAGTTTTACATTATATCGGAGCTATAGGCCCTCTTCGAAAATTCCGATTCTTGATTCTACTCCTCTTCCTTTTCTTGTTTTGCCCTCTTTTTGATATCAACAAGGATGAACATGAATAGAAGTGGAAGCACCACGTTCACTGTTGCTGATCATATCTCCTCTTTCGGTGATTAGAATTCATCTTTCTACCTCCATCCTTCTGACAGCCCTGGCACAATGCTTGTTTCTTGTCTTCTTATTGGAGACAACCATATGACTTGGCGAAGAGCAATGGTTAATGCTCTCAGCACTAAGAACAGGATTGGCTTCGTGAATGGAGTGATTCAGAAGTCAGATCCGACAAATCAGACAGAATTCCTCGCCTTGTCGAAATGTAATTCCAGACTGGTGTCATGGATTTTCAATGCTTTAGCCAAATATCTCCATGAAAGCATAGCCTACGTTGAAAACACTCAAGAAATGTGGAAAGATTTGGAAGAAAGGTTCTCACAAAGAAATGAAGAAAAGGGAAATCCATCATATGGATGGCTGAACCATGTCAGATGGCTGAGCAAAATTTCAAAAATTTTCTTTTACCTTTCCGGGAATTGTATTCCTAGTTTTAGAAAAACTATTTTTTTTAAGATCGTTCTTACACTAAAACCGAACCAGATTTGAATCCAACAAAAAGGGAGAAATATACCTAATACGAAATCAACAAATGTAGCTCCTAAAGTGGTAGTTCACACCCAAAGAGAGTATCAAAACCAGTTTCCACTGAATATGGCGCAACTTGAATTGAAGTTGGTTCAACAACACAGTTTTTCAGCAAAAACTGTAATCCAACAACTTGGATTGTGCAAGGGTGGTGAGCATGAATT